AAACCCTTTTTCTACAAAATAATAATAATAATAATAATAATAATAATAATAATAATAAACATTAGCGGGGAGTGGCGGCATGCGCCTGTAGTTGCAGCTGTTTGGGAAGATCGCTGGAGCATGGAAGATTGAGGCTGCAGTGAGCCATGATTGTGCCACTGCATTCCAGCCTGGGCAACAGAACAAGATTCTGTCTCAAAAAATGAAAAAAAAAAGTAAAAAAGAAAAAAGAAAATTCATACAGTTCTATGGCTTTAAATATATTGATGCTGTTGGACATCCATCACCACTATTCATCTCCCAAATTTTCATCATACTCTGCTGAAATACTTTACACAATAACACCTTATATTTCTTCTTCTCCTTCCCTTTGCCCCAGCCTCTGGCAAAACCATCATTCTACTTTCTGGCTCTCTGACTTTGATTATTCTTCGTTTTTAACCTCTGTGTGTCCTTATGCCTAAAGTGAGTCTCTTGTGGGCAACATACAGTTGGATCCTGTTACTTATTAACTTACTATTCAACGTGTCCTGCCAACCTATGTCTTTGGTTTGAGAGTGATTCTTTTTCCAGGGCTCCCATAAAAAAAACACTACACTACTCACTGAGTGGCTTAAACAACAGAAATTCACTTTACCACAATCCTAGAGAGTAGAAGTCTGAGATCAAGGTTTGGGCAGTGTTGGTTTCTTCTAAGCCCTCTCTCCTTGACTTGTGGATGGGCTGTCTTCTTCCTGTGTCTTCACATGAACTTTCCTTTATGTGTTCATGTCCTAACTTCCCCTTCTTAGAAGGGCACCAGTCATGTTGGATTAGGGCTCACCTTAAGGATGACATTTTAAGTTAATTACGTCTTCAAAGTCTCTATCTCCAAATACAGTCCTTTGTGAGGTACTGGTGGTTAGAACTTCAATGTATAACTCTGTGTGGGGAGGAGGGACATAATTCAGCCTCAAACAGGGAGTCAAATCCATTTATATTTAAAATAATTATTTAAAGGGTAGCTCTTACTTTTACCATTTTGCTGTTATTCAATTTTCATATGTCTTTCAGCATTTTTGTCCCTCATTTGACCCATTACTATTATCCTCTATGTTTAGTTGATCTTTTTGTAGTGTCATATGGAGATCCTCTCCTCATTTCTTTTTTACATATTCTATAAATATTTTCTTTATGGTTTCCATGGAGATTACATATAACCTCCTACAATGATGGCAGTATCTTAAGTTGACACCAATTTAACTTCAATCGGATACAAAAACTTCAATCCTTACCAGTCTGCTCCCTTTATGCTATTGCTGTCATAAATTACATCTTTATATATAATGTAACTATTAGCATAAATGCATAATTATTTTATGCATTTATCTTTAAATACTGTAGAAAATGAAAATGGGGGTTTTAAGTCAAACTTACTATAATTTTTTAATATATATTTTCATGTATTTACCTGTACTAGGGACCCTTTCTTTACTTGAGTCTTCAAGTGACTGTGTAGTGCTGTTTCATTTCAAATTGAAGGACTTTCTTGTAGGAAACATATATTGGTAATAAACTCACTCATATTTTGATTGTCTGGGAATGTCTTAATTTCCTTTTCATTTTGGAAGGATAGTTTTCCTAGATGTAGAATTCTTAGTTGACATTTTTTCAGCAATTAAATGTGTTATCCATTACTTTCTTTTCTTTTCTCTTTTCTTTTCTTTTTCTTTTTCTTTTCTTTTTTTCAGATGGATACTTGCTCTGTTGCCCAGCCTAGAGTGCAGGGGTGCAATCTCAGCTCACTGCAACCTCTGCCTCCCAGGATCAAGCTATTCTCTTGTCTCAGCCTCCCAAGTAGCTGGGATTACAGGTGCCTGCCATCATGCCTGGCCAATTTTTGTATTTTTAGTAGAAATGGGGTTTCACCATGTTGGCCAGGCCAGTCTTGAATTCCTGACCTCAAGTGATCCACCCACCTTGGCCTCCCAAAGTGCTGGAATGACAAGTGTGAGCCACTGCACCCAGGCTATCCATTTGCTTTCTAACCTGTGAAATGTCTGCGGAGAAATCTGTTGACAGTCTTATTATGGATCCCTTGTTTATGAGGATTTGCTTTTCTCTTTCTGCTTTTAAGATTCTCTCTTTTTCTTTGGCTCTTAACAGTTTGATTATTATGTGTCTTGCTGTGGGTCTCTTTATGTTTATCCTACTAGGAGTTCATTAAGCTCCTAGAATTTGTATATCTATTGTCTTTCCTCAAATTTGGAAAGTTCATATTCATTAATTTAAATTCATATCCGTAATCATTGTTGTAAATTCATTGTCTAGTAAGTCTGATGCATGTGTTTTTTCAGTGACTGTATCTGGAGATTTATTTTGACCCTTTGAATGATCTGCTTCCCTGTTTCTTTGTATGCCTTGTGATTTTTGTTAAAAAATAAGCATTTGAAAAGAATTAACTACCGCCCTCAATCTTTGCAGAATATAGTAGAAAATGTTCGCTAATTAGTGGGCCTCTGAGCCTTGAGACCAATCTGGACTGAAGACTTTAGGTGTTTTCAGGTTTTTGGGGGGCGCATGTCCTGTCTGGGTTTGTGTGTACTTTTTGTTGTGTTTTTGTTTTTATTTTTTCCCCAGCTGCTTTTAAACATAATAATATTCCAGAGAATCTCATCTCATCTTCTCATTGGGGCCTTATATATGTGTTCTATTGTGTTCCTCTGCCTGGAATCCCTTACTACAAGGTACCCATGGGTTTGCAATTTTGCTGCAGTTTTCTATACAGCAGTGCTTGTCACAGCCTCTCATGGCTTCTAGCCAGAGATGCCAATTATGCTGCCCTTCCTCATCTGACCTGCAAATCAGGAAAGGCAGAGCTCAGTCTCTCGGGCAGCCCACAGAGAGACCATCGTGCTGCCAACCACTTTCCCTCTGCTTCTCCATCCCCAGAGAGGAAACTGGTCATCGGGCCACTTCCTCTCAACTGCACTGTGCCATGCAAGTCATGGTATGAAACAAGGGAGAGTAAAACATCATGAAATATAGTCCTATTTCGAATTTTTTTTCTCACTGGGCATTTGCTTCGTTGTTATAGATGTTTTACTGTTATTTAGAGCTCCTATAAAATTATTTTCGTCTTTTGGTAGTCGTTTCTTTGGTGTTTCCATGGGGAAATACGGGTCTGGAGCTTTCTGTCTCACTGTCTACTGATGCTATCACCAAACTTGCTGGATTATTTTGATATAATATTGAGAAAATTAAACATTTAGAAAATAAAATTTTGGAATTCAATGTAATTCTCACATCATGCAGCAAAATAATGTTTAGCTGTTATTTAAAAAACTTATTTTAAAAAAGAAATAAAAATACCTAAAACATATCTTAATCCATTTGGAATAGTGAAGTACTTACTAAGAATGAAACCACATAATATGTTCAATATAATTTGTGTTTAATGAAGGATTATATTGTTACCCAAATTTATTCTAACTTAGCAATGAAAGATAAATTTTGACTGGGTGTGGTTGCACATGTCTGCAGTCCCAACACTTTAGGAGGCTACGGTGGGAGTGTCACTTGAGCTGGGGGTTTGAGACCAGTCTGGGCAATATAGTTAGACTCCATCTCTACAAAAGGTTTGTTTTTTAATTATCTGGGCATGGTGGCACAAGCCTGTGCTACCAGCTATTAGGGAGGCTGAGGTGGGAGTATTGCTTGATCCTGGGAGGTTGAGGCTGCAGTGATCCATGATTGTGCCACTGCACTCCCACCTGGGCAACAGAGTTAGACCCTGACTCAAAACAAACAAGCTAAACTAAACTTGCTATAATTACTGTTGTTTTATGCATAGTTTTAATAAAATGCTCCACGAGTTCCACATATACCCAGACATATTCTTTTCTTCTTATGGAATCATTTAAAATATGTGTGAGAAAATGTATATTTATATGTACACCTTTCAGCTGCAAATAATAGAATCAACTATGCAATGGATTTAAACTATAGCAAATAAACTATAATAAATACAGCAGAATGTTCAGAATTGTGATATTACTCCTAAATTGGTTGATTTTCTGCCTCAAAAATAAGGTAGCAGGTCCAGGTTGTTGACACGTCTTTTCTGTTCCGTACATGCTGTTGTCTCCATCCTCGGATTGTAGCAAAATCACACCAATAGTTCTACATTTGAAACCTGGACACAGAAGTTTTCAGAGTAAAATAGATATGCACTTTATTAGCATCCTGCAATGTTTCCCAGAAGTACTGCTGTGGACTTCCCCTCACATCTCATTCTACTGAATTGGGTCCCAAGCCCTCTGCTAAGCAAATTCCTGGGAAAAGTAAGAAAGAAATGCCTTAGTTTGATTGGACAAATTATACAGGGTGAAATTAATTTTGAGTTGACAGCCACTCTATCCAATAAACAAATGAATTCTTTAAAAATTATTCTGTGATAGTGCAAGTCCCAACAGGAGAAAAGATTTTTCATGAAATTCAGGAAATAAATCAGTGCACTTGAACAAAGAAACCATTACGGGTTTTAGTTCAATGATAGATACTTCAGTGTTTAAAATATATGTAATGTTACTTAAAGTATCTTTTGTATAGAACTTAGTAAATATCATCTCTGTTGTCATCTATGGGTATGAGTGAAGGCTTTCTTCTCTCTAAGTGCATGCATTTTTCTCATAATGCTATTTTTCTCATCATGCTGTTAATTGTAACTTGGTGTAAAAGTAGTCATAAGGAACAAATGAGATTTTTTATTACATTTTGACATCTTAAAAATGAGAGAAATAAAACCAAAGATTATCATCCTTTCACTGGAAAACACATCTTTGATTTTCACCAATGAGAATGTAAACATTTATTTGAATGTATTTAAGGTGTCTTAATTCCTTTGGAGATCACATTTTAAGTCATTATCATTCAAGAACTGAAAATGCCTAGGATACATTTTTTATCTGGGTATTTCCTCAATAACTCCAACATTTTAACAATGTTTCTCTCTATGACAGTGAGCCAAGGAGGTGTTGCATTGGTCTCTGACATGTGTCCAGATCCTGGGATTCCAGAAAATGGTAGAAGAGCAGGTTCTGACTTCAGGTAAGAGATACAATAGTGATGGAAAAAGCATGTTATTTTTAAGACATATATAATTTCAGCTTGCAGTTTAGTTTAATTGTTTTGTTCTTTTGAGGTGAAGATAAAACTTCGCAATCATTATGCAACTATATCATCTGTAGAATTCTAAAACATATCATACTGAAAAATTCCAGGTACTCTAGAGTCAGCACCTTATACTCTAGGAACCAATAATAAAAATTTAACTCTAAATATGTGTGATCAAAATTTGTCTTCAGAGAGTTTATTTTTTGTTTATAATCTGATAAATTTTCTGTATTAGTCCCTTGTCCCACTGCTAGTAAAGACATACCAGAGACTGGGTAATTTATAAAGGAAAGAGGTTTAATTGACTTATAATTCAGCATGGTTGAGGAGGTCTCAGGAAACTTACAATCATGACAGAAGGGAAAGCAAACACATCCTTCTTCATATGGTGACAGGAAGGAGAAGAATGAGCAAAGTGAAGGAAAATCCCCTTAAAAAACCATCAGATCTCATGAGAACTCACTATCATGAGAACAGCATGAGGGTAACTGCCCCCATGATTCAATTACCTCTCACCGGTCCCTCCCACAACATGTGGAGATTATGGGTGCTACAATTCAAGATGAGATTTGGGTGGGGACACTGCCAAACCATGTAAATCTCATATTCCAATTTTTTTAATGTTTAAAGATAGAAGGTAAAATATTTAATTATCACCTCATAGTTATTTCATTAAAAAACTTCAGAAATGATGAATGTTAGTATCAGCCAATAAAGTTTATTCAGAAAATATGAATCATTTTACTAGGATTATGATGATACTGATTTTCTGTTGCTACATTATGAATACAGTAGTGATAATAGTCCTATTACTTTAGATTTTTACACTGATTTCAGTGAGTTCAAGAATTGTAACATTTTCCATCTTACAAGATGGATACTATTATTAGAAGCAGCTGTGAAATAAAATAGTAAAGAGAAGCAAGATACATGTTTTTCCTTCTTACAATGTCACCATTTTTGAAAAAAATTCGAAAAAGGTTCAGAAAGCTAAGGCTACTGAAGTGGCCTACAAATGGAAGAAAAGTACTGATACTATTAGAGAGGGAAGAAGAAATGTTATTTAATAAAATTGGAGTAACAACAGTAGTTTTAAAAGGAATAGAAAAATAAAAAAATGGCAGTGTATCTATAATGAAGTTGGTAAAATGGTGTATTATTTTACATGAAAAGGATACAAAGTATAGATATGAAGAAATAGAGTGTTGGAATGGATATAGGTTAACTATTACACATCTTGACTAATATGTTAAGAAGTTTGTGGTTTCGCTGAAGTCCCTCTGAGGCAGAGCTTGAGATGAAAATTCTTATTGAAGTAATTTATTGGAAAAGTGCTCTCAGGAGGAGCGGAGTAGAGGAAGTGGAATAGAATTGGAGTAAAAAGCTAAGCAGAAAGATGCTTTTACTGGAGACTCACTTCAGTCTGTTCCCATGGGGAGTTCTGGGATACAAGTTGTACTGACAAGCAGGCCTCACCTTTTGTACCCACTTTCCTGCCTGTCAATCAATGACTTCCTTCCTTTGGCTCAGGGAAGTTCTCCAGAGGAAGAGTTGCTTGTGAAGAGTTATGAGCAATCCAGTGAGTGTGGTGCACGGATGCACCAGCTCATAGCTAAAAGAAGGATGCTGGTTTCCAGTATCATATTATAAAATAGTGATCATTTGAAGTCATTCAGGAATTTTATCTCTTTCAAAAACAACGCAACTCGATAAAATTGCACATTCTTCCAAGGGCTTTCCATTCTATGTCTTCTTTCCTTGTGTCAACAGTCACCTCTTTCATGTCCCTCTTGTTGAGGAAAAATCTTCTTCCTGCTTCCCTTTCCTTCCGTGCCCCTTTGTTAGAGTTGACAACAGTGCATCATCACGATGTGCTCACACATCTGTTGTCTCACCTGTCTTAAGCGTCTCCAGAATGGAGAGTGTCTTATCTTTGCATCGTCAGTGACTAAAACTGTGTGTGTGGCACAAATAAACTCTTCTCCATATCAAATGTACTTTGTGTATCGGGGAACTGCCCATCTCGTATCCTGTCATCCCAGAAACCTAGAAACTTCTTTGGTCAGTTTTGCAGAGCAGAGCTGTATTTTAAAAACAAAACAAATTAACTCATAACTGAGAATACCAAATTCTTCAAATTGCATTTCATGTTAAAAAAAAAATGACAGAGAAAATGCTTAAGCTATAAAAGTTAACAGGGAAGTTGCGAATATTCAGGCCCATGTCTCCTTAGCACAAGGGTAATAATGAAGCTTTTAATCATATCCTAGGTGAGTAAGCCAATCTTTATTCCATTTCATTCTCAGATCGGACTTACTTCTGGAAAAGAGGTTTAAATTTGGGATGTACATTAACTCTGAGGGCTGTGTTGATCTGGCTGGGGTGGAGGTAGCGAGAATCTAGGTTGTGCAGATGTATGGCCCGTCAGGAATGGAATATAGATAAGGTTTCTGTAGAACTTTATCTCAGAAGATAATTTCAATCTGTCACTTTCCTCGTTTTTTGAGAAATCATTATGTTGTTTATTTGTCTCTATGTTTGTAGCAATAGCAATCAAATATTGTAACACCTGGGAAAATGATTTGAAAGACTAAATTTTCTCTTAAATACACGAGTAAAATGTTGTTTGTATCAGCTATGGGGTGTGTATGTGTATACAAATATATACATAACAGAGATAAGCTAGTTATAGTAGCTGTTTTGATAGATTTCTTAGAACTTTCTCCCTAGCTGATTTTGTTATCTACAAATAAAAGGATTTTTAATTTTTGCTTTCCAATCTGAATTTTTTTTAAATTTCTTGTTCTTGTGTAAATGCACTGGTTAGAAACTATTTTACAAGATTGAATAGAAATGGTGAGACATCTCTGCCTTTATTCCTGAGCTTAAGTGGAAAGCGTTCTGGCTTTCATTATAATTATGACATCGCTTGTTGGTTTTTCATAGATGCCCTTTATGAGGTTGAGGAAGTATCCTTCTATTTGTAGTTTTTTGAGGGGGGTGTGTGTGTGTGTTTTAATCAGACATGAATTTGGAATTTTTTCAAAAACTGCGTCTACATCTATTGAGATGACCGTTTTTTGTTTGTATATTTTATGAATATGAGGACTTAACTGATTTCCCAATGTTAAAAATGAACTTATATTCTGGAATAAAATTAATTTGTAATGATGTATTTTTCTTTTTATGGTTTATTGAATTTGACTTGTTAAAACGTTTAGTTTTTTACAGGTATGTTTATCAGTTATCATAGGCTGTAGTCTTTCCTTATAAACACTTTCTTTGTTCCTGTCCGAGTAATAATAGTATCAAAATTAATTGAAAACTGTTCTCTCCTCTGGAATACCATAGAAGAGTTTGTGTATAATTGTTAATATTTCATTGCTAAATGTTTGGAATAATTCACCAGGGAAGCTACCTGGAATTGGAATTTTCTTGCAAGTATGTTTTAAATTACAGGTTGAACTTCTTTTCTACTTACAGGCTCATGTAGATTATCTACTTCTACTTCAGTGAGCTTTGATAGTGTGTATCTTTCAAGAAATTTTAAAATTTCATCTAAGTTGTCAAATTTGTTGGCTTAAAATTATTCTTATTTTTCTTTATTATCCCATAAATGAGTAGTAATTTCACAGCTCAAATTCTTGATATTCGTAATCTTTAAAAAGTCTTACTTGGTCCATCTGGCTATTAACATGTTAACATTATTGAACTTCTCCAAAAACCACAATTTACTTTTATATACATTTATCTGTTGTTTAGTTTGTCTTCAATTTCATTGACTTCTGCTCTGACCTCTTATTAATTTATTTCCTCTGTTTACTGTGGGCTCCATTTGTTCTTTTTCTGGTGTCTTAAGGTTGAAGCTGAGATCAGTAATTTAAGACCTTTATTCTTTCTAAATATGGGTGTTTACTGCTATGAATTTTCCTCTAAGGAACGCTTTGGCTGCATCTCTTCAATTTTGATATGCTGTGTTTTTATTTTCATGCAGCTTAAATGACATTATATTTTCCTTTCTGATTACTTTTTTGTTCCATGATTTATTTAAAAGTTTTCTATTTTGTTTCCACATATCTGGACATTTTCCAAGGATCTGCATGGTTAGAGATTATGCTTTATAAGATCTGAACTTTTAAAAATGTTTTGATAATTGCTTTATGGGCAAGAATACGCTCTATCATGGTAAATGTTCCATGACCACTTGAAAATAACACATATTTTAGTGTTGTTGGGTGAAGTGTTCCATAAATGTCAGTTAGATCAAGTTGGTTGACAGTGTTGTTCAAGGCTTTGAGATCCTTACTAATTGTCTTGTCACTTGTCAAATCTGTTACTGAGAGAGATTTATCTAAATCATCTATTAAAATTGTGAATTTGCCTATTTCTCATTGCAGCTTTATCAGTTTTTGCTTCATGTATTTTGAAGCTCTGTTATTAGGTACACAAATGTTTAAAATTGCCATGTATTTTTGTTTAATACCTTTTATATTATGAAATGACTTTCTTTATCATGAGTAATATTTTTTACTCTGAAACCACATTTGGCTTACATTTTCATAGCCATTTTAGCTTTCTTTGAATTATCGTTAGTGTATAATACTTTATATGGATTGTTATATGTGCTTCTGTATTCAATCTGTTGCACAATGTTGTTTTAATTAAATATTTTTAAAAATCCAGCTTTACATATAGCTGAAAAAGAAATTAGTATTTTAAAATTTTTTCCAAATAACTAAGTGTATTATTTGACACTATAACAAAAATTGGCAAATGATATCATCTTAAATGTTAGATGCAATTTGAATATAGGGTTTTGAAAATAAACATTTTTTATTTTCTTACGTCAAAATTTATTGGTTGAGCTTCTTTCCTGAACTAATTTTTTGTATGTGCATGATTTTGTACCTCATACATTGGTCACTTGAAAATAG